TCCTGTATGGATACAGAGATACAGAGAAACATGATTTGCTCTCAGCAACATACTCTCAACATCCTTATACGACATGACATGTAATCTTTTATTTGACTCATATAATATTTTTTGGTCTCTACTAATTTCTACCTTTTATCTTTTCTCTCTCTCTTCGTCCTCTTCATTACTGAAGGTCGTGTCCTTGAAAGGTGTCTGTTGCCTCTCTTATGATGTTATTCCATTTTACACGGTCTTCAGCTTCTCGCAGGGCAGCTGCAATCGACAGTCCCGTAACGTCTTTATCTTTTACATACCGAAATATAGAAATTGCACTCTCTTGCATGTATGTATACTAGGATTGTTATTATCTATTTATAATGTTACGTAGATAAAGTAATATGTAAACACCAAAGACTAAGAATTTTTCTTAACAGCCACATTCGATCCGAACTCTTTCTGTGTTATTGTCCCATTCCGTCGTTATCATGTTTCTCGTGGTATTACAATAAGGTATATGGCCCAAACAAATGTCCTGAATGCGTAGCACTTATTCACTCTGTCTAGTTTTACTCAGTTGTTGACATTCCCCACATGGCGGGCGGCGCGTTGCAGCCGACTCGCATTCACATTGTCCATAATTCATGAGTGAACTACGGGCGGCGCCGCCGCTGCTAGACCGCTTATTTGGCGAAACTAACTTCTATAATTCAGATATTTCACAATCTGTGATAACTAGGCAAGTACGAGACATGTCCTCTGTACGTAATTGTGTTCAATTATATAAAATTTAAAGCATGTAATGGAAGCTGTGTCGATTGGTTTGTCATATACGGAGATTCGAATCTTCTCTCTTTATAAAAGTATATATTACTTATAACTATTGCTTGTGTTAAACATATTAAATCAACTGTAAGTCATGAAGAACAGAAGAAAGTGGAAAATAAATAATATTTTTTATTAAATAAGGCAGGGAGACCGAGGCATAGTTACATTAGGCAGATCAAGGAAGGAGTTGGTGTCGTGTCGTATCAAGATGTGAAGAGACTCGCTGAAAATCGTAGTGAGTGGCAAGAGCTCCACCGACAAGAGAGCAGCTCTTAAATGGATAGATAGATAGATAGATTAAATAAGATATTTATTCTCATTAAGATTTATAAATTCACTTTTTAACGACTTTCAAACGATGAAACGTCTCAATTCGTCTGATTTTTCATAATACTAGTGATCATAATAATCCTCTCGTTCTTTCTGCCTATTTTGCTCTTTTGCCCTTTAATAGGATATATTAAATAAACTGCTACAATCCATAATTAAGTACCAAGTCCATTAATTCAACTGCAGTTCAAAGTTATAGTTTGCAAAGCCGCACAATGTGTATCGTATGATTAAATGTACAAAAGGCGGGTCGCCGCCGCGCCGCCGCGCTGCAGCGCTGCCTGGTCTCGCTGGGGTCAACGGAGCGGGTTCAATACGGCCGCTGAGCATCGTGAAAGTTCAGAAGTCCTGATTAGGAAGTAATTATAGTAGTGATCGTTGCTAAATGGTTATCATTTGTTGGGTGCGTTGATGCTTTATAGTTTCTAATTTGAGTAGTTCACGAACAGGTACACCCCTTTGTAATCCTACACAAAAGTCTGTAATGGGAAAATTATGTTATTGGTTTTGCAAACGTTCAAGTGCTACTGTAAGCACATACCATCAGCGGGACTGTATCCGTAATTAATTTGAAACTAGAGACTAGTATTGGTACTCGTGTGAGTGTCGCCCTCTAGTGTCAAAAGTTTCCAGATCGCTTTTGTTATACACGCAGACCTCTCATGTGGCTTATTGGGCAGCAACTTTGCATATCATGTGAAACACAAATTGATAATCATTCTTTTAAATTATTTAAATATCTAAACTTTAAGGCTGGGATTCAATCTTTGGATCCCCATACACACACAGCCACAGCCATACATTGTCTAAGTTCTCACTTATTTTTGGTAACACCTACGATGTGTGGAAGTATTTGAACTAAATAAGCATGGTTTTCTGGCTTCACTATTATCATAGGTCACTAGTTACTTCTATCTTAAAGCTTAAATACGTGACTCAATTAATTGTAATATGTAACCTATATAAATATTAATATGTAAATATGTTGACATTTATATAATATGACGATATAAGTAAAATAGTAGTAGCATAGCATAGTATGTTTTCCCAAGAGACTACAGCATGGGGTTTTTCAAAAGAGGGGTAAAGAGGTTTCTTCAGGGTCGGCAACGCGCGCGTAGTACCTCTGGTATTGCAGGCGTTCATAGGCTACGGTAACCGCTTACCATCAGGTGGGCCGTATGCTTGTTCGCCACCTCAGTGGTATAAAAAAAAAAAATAGTAGCACAATTAAATAAATTTTGTATCCCAGATTCTTGTGAATAGTGTGAAAAACATTAAATATTATGTAACCATCCTTTATACCAGTTTTCAAACAAAATAAAGCTATTTTTATTTGTATCTATACAGATAAACTTATCCGTCTACGCTTGATTGAAGCGTTGATTCGAGATCGTCAATAAAAATGAACAAGCGGATAATGGCGGTTATCTAACGGTAGCTGACGGCGCACGCGCGCGCCCAAGTCCGTTATCACGTGCTATGGACATAATGCAGTTTGTACCGAGTGCACTCAGTCGTAAAGCTATGCAGTAGGTCATCGTAAACATTGCATTTTACTGACATTCGATTATACGGATAAGTTTCGTAACATTGAATTGATTAAAAGACGTGCGCCATACTATTTAAGTCTACTGCAAAAAACAAGGACACTTTGGACGTTCTCTTAAACGACGAAAGAATTGCAATAGTAAATGATGTAAAATTTCTAGGGGTACAGATTGACTCAGCATTGAACTGGAAAAGTGAATTGCACTCCATCGGTAATAGTGTTAGTTCATCGTGCTATGCTTTAAGGAGTTTAAGGGACGTGCTAACTACAGATCAACTGAAATCAGTATATTACTCGTTAGTGGAATCAAAATTTAGATATAGTATTCAATTATGGGGAAACAGTTACAATTATAATATAGAAAGAGCTTTTAGACTACAAAAAAAGGCAATAAGAATAATTGCTCGTATTCCGCAGTGGCAGTCTTGCAGGGACTTTTTTAAAAAGTATCGCATACTTACAGTGCCCAGTCTATATGTATTGATTGTTATTGTAAATTTTGTTAAAAATCTACCCAGATGTGAAACGACACAAGAAAGGGAATTGCGTACAAGTTCTAGACGTAAAGACATTATGAGTGACATACAACCAAGATTAAACGTAGTTATACATGGAGCGCAATTTCAGGGAAGGAAATTGTATAACAAATTACCAATTGATCTGAAAACTATCCAAAATTGGAGAATATTAAAAATCAAACTCCATGCCTTTCTGTTGGAAAAATGTATTTATAAAATAAATGAATTTTAGGGTTATATTAATTGTGAGTTGTTTGTGGTTGCTTGTTTTTTTTTTTTTTTTTTTTTTTTTTTGACTGAAACTGTTATTATTAATTCGTTGATTGTACTGACATTGTTTATATGTAAAATTCCTATCATACCTATTCGACACAATGTAATATTGTTATGAATAAATTGAATTGAATTGAATTGAATTTGCTGTCCGACCGGATTGGGCGGAATTAGCGCCGATGCTGCCTAAGATGAGGAAATTATGCACATGTGTGTAAATCTTTGCAGTATATGAAGTTATACTAACAGTAGCTAAGTTTTAGCGTCTTCATCTGTGTTATTGGTAAAAGTTGATATTTTTCGTTTTTATTTAAACAAGTTGTTACAGTACTATAGTGTCAAACACATTAGTTTTCAAAATGGTTTGTATTATACAGTAACTAAACTAACTAAATAATATTTCACATTAGGTGGGTAAACTGTTAATCGTAATTTTAATTAAATAATATGATACTACCCACATTTAACAATGTTGCACCAAAAGTAAAATGAACATTGCAAATGAGTGTATTTATGTTTTAGATTGTACCGTCTTATGTTAAGTCAAAGGAAGTTTTGTAACTAACCACTGAGATAAAGGCTCAGCCTAGTTCGGTGACTAGTAGATGTAACTAGGTGTGAATTGTTATTAAATAAAGAATTATCAATTATCAACTTCAATTGAAAGTATTTTTTAATGGGTGAAAATGAAATGGTAACCCCGTCTGCGCTATCGGTATATGCTGGCAGGGTACCAGTAAAGAATGATAGATGAAAACGAAAGCAGTTCAGTTAGTCTGTCGTGACAAATTTAACAAAAGCCAACCACGATGATTTCAAGAGTAAAGAGCGTCGAGGTCGTCCTGATAAGGACTAAGACGGCCTCTACGCTCTCCATCCATACTATAGTGCTAGCAATGGGGCTGTGAAATTGAATTACTAACATTTCCTTCCCCCGAAAGTTATTTGTTATTGTATCAGGTAGAACACTATTTTAATTCTATTAAAGTAATAGCTTTTAGCCAGTTGAGAGTACTCATTTTGCGAATTGGAGATTTTTTACAAAATCCTGTATGTTGTATTTGTCTTATTTCCTTGCAACTTTATCAATCATCATTCTACAGGCTTTTATGATTAATTATCATCCACAAGCTCGATACCGGTACAGCACATTTTTTACTACAATTTTCATAATTTATAAGAATAAAATTATATAAACTTCCCACCTATATTACGTTTATTATTAATGAAGCCACATATCAGTGAAACAGCAACCCTCCTGTCGAAAATACACGACAGAAGGTCAGTTGATTCGATATGTTTGCTCACAATGTTTTGACACATTGCTTAATTATATCGCCGAAAGCATAAATACTGTACTAGTACTTAAAGTAAAGAACTTCGATTGCGTAAACTAGCCGAAGTTATAGCACACAATTTCGGCAGGTAAACCTACGATTAGAGCCCCAGATTTTGGGGCACTGAAACCTGATGCTTTGCGTGCGAGTGCGTGGTATTTATTCATTTATTTGATTGTGCAGGCATCACGTACCTGACGGGCGAGAACTTTTTGGACGTGTTGGATAATGGCGCGGAGCTGTGCCAGCTGGCGGCCGTCATACACGACAGGGCGCGGGACGCCCTCGACCAGGGGCTCATCGTTGGGGTAAAAATAGAAATAATAAATTTTTGATACATATTAGTAATGAATATGATTAACTTGTAGATGTTCAGGTATGCTGCTCTACTGAGCAGCTGCCCCTTTAAATATAATATATAACACTTTAAATTTTGGTTTCTTCATGATATCTTTTAATCTATAAAACAGAACAGTTCTTCAATATGATATATTACTTAAAATATATCATATTATTTATCTAATAATAATTATCTAATTAAGCTGCATTTAGAAATCAAAATTATGACTTCCATGGTGCAACGGTAGACACATAGCTTTGTATAATGAGATCCGTAGTTAGATTCTCAATCAGTGCAATTTAAGGCAATAACTTTTCTAAATTCTAAATTGTGCCCCTAGATATTCTTTGCTTGGTTTTTCATAATATTCTCTGTATTATCCCAATTTGAGGACTTAGTAATTGATATGATTGTGTGGCGCTATTGTTATTATTATTTCATTTAACTCTATCATCCAAACCCCTTTAGATAAATGACAAACTAATGTATCTATCGATTGAAACATTTTCGTTACGTTACACATAAAATAACAAGACACTGAATACTACTATCTCGTTTTACCTGGTGCATGTCACAGCGAAAACATAGCTATTGATAGATTCATTTGCTATTTGCTACAGGGTCTGTTCAGTTAGTAGCGTCAGTCGCGAACTAGCAAAAAACTCCACTATTCTCAAGTTGACAGTAACTTTAGCTTAGACTCCTTTAAGAATAACAATGTTATTTACGTATTATCCTATAATGACTTCTCAGTTATCACCATGTTGTATGTTGTGTCCAACAGCCGGTTCCTCAGATCCGCGGCCGGTGCTGGCAGCGCGCGGCGCGACGCAGCTTCTTTTCCCGCGACAACACCGAGAACTTCATCACGTTCTGCCGGGAGCTTGGAGTGCACGAGAACTTGTTGTTTGAAAGCGATGACCTCGGTGCGTTTTCCATACATTATTTCGACTATTTATGTAATTTTGCCGTTACAGTATAGAATAGACCACCCCTTTTTTCCGTGAGGGTTGTAAGAGGCGACTAAGGGAACCTAATGGTCGAGAGATAAGCAACAGCGTCCCTTTTTAACCATCACCAAAGTCTAACTGCGGTTGCCAACCTATCTCTAAATATGGCAACTACTGGCTACTACAGCAGTGAAGAGAACGATTGATATGATGCTGATGATGTAATTTGGAATGGCCAACAAATCGACGACCACCAGAAACATTTAACTTATAAAATAAATAGCCTACTCCCTCAGTCTATATTATACACGCCTCGTGTGACAATACTTATTGCCTCATATTAAAAGGCTCTAGGGAACGAATGAGTTCAACTATTTTTAATTATGTTATGATACTAAAAGCTGCATTTATACTTAGTATGTCAACTATGTTTAATTAGCATTATAACATTTATTAAAAAACTTTATGTAGTTAGTAGCTAGCTACCTGATACGCCAAATGTTGTTTGCTTCCTACCACCGTCTATCGGATAAATGTTGAGTTTCTTGCGGGCTCTTCTTAATAGATAATCACTTACAAAAATACAATAGATTTGAAATGGCGATTTAAAGTACAAGATTATTTGAATAAAGATGATTTGAATTTCAATTTGATCTATATTTTTTCTTATTAGGATAAAAACTGTCTCTGTCAAATCTCTCAAGTTGGAGGAAACAATACATGTTTACAAAAGTTCAATGAAATCTCTTGAGCGGTTTCAAAGATTAGCTAGAATTAACAACGTGATACGGGATTTAAATTTACTAAGGTATCTTTATTCTTCTGTCATTAGTGCTCCACAACCAACCACGTCAAGTTATCCTCTGCCTCCTGGAGGTGGCGCGACTGGCGACGAAGTTCAACATAGAACCACCGGGATTGGTGCAGCTCGAAAAGGAAATCGCGTTGGAGGAGCGCGACTCGGGGCTCGACTCCGCCATGTCGGGCGCCGCCTGGCAGTTCAGGGACTCCTCGCCTGTCCCTCAGCTCGAGAAGTATGTATTTATTTATGGTCATAAAACCTTACTTGAACAATAGAATATTATTTCAATAAATCTGACTATTGATGTTGTTTTATTTCAGATCCATAAAAGATCCACCGCCCTCCTCGCCACAACCTAATGACAGTAAGTGAATTACAAATAATAATATACGTACTCATATATGTAATATTAAAAGCAATGTAATATCATAATGTCTATAGTATGCAGTTTGTCACAATTACGAAGCATTCAATGAAGCAACCATGATAACTTAATATACTAATACCCAAATGTTGTTTGGAAGAGATTGCTTAGCAATAAGACCTTTTGTACTACACTATACTTATCAAAAATTCTTTAATAAATCCTGCAATGTTGGTGCAATAAAGTGTTAAATAAATAAATAAATATTTTTTTATTCAATTGAATTAAAATAAATTCGAAGCACATTAACAAGTTACCCAACTGAGTTGGACATGTTTTAAATTAATAATTGTTTTTGCAGATCAACTGTCGGTGCCAGACAACATAGATGCGGAAAGCACCAAGTCTGAAGAGACAGTGGGCAGCACGGACTCTGATGTGCCGCTGAAACCCACTAATGAATTAGATAAAAGAGTAAGTTTATTATTGCTGTCATTTTCTATTTAGCATATCATACTCACCTCTTTTATGCTACTTCCAAAAGGCAAAAGTTCTCAATTCATCTTAGTTCTTTGTATGACTTGATGGAAAATGTTATCTATGAATACCACCATTGATATCACAAAATACAACTACTATAATATTCCTAATGAGATTCCATTCCTGAAGGCGATTATGACCTCTTAGCTAATGATTTCATATATTTATGTATTTCATTGTACAGGTTCAACTGGTGACTCGGTTGATGGAACGCGGTTGCAACTGTAACTCCGGGAAATGCTCCAAACTACTGAAGGTCAAGAAGGTCGGCGAAGGTCGTTACAACATCGCCGGCCGAAACGTCTTTATAAGAGTGAGTAGCTATTCTACGACATAAAACGAATTTTAATAGAGATACCTCTCTTTTATGATTAGAGAATGAACATTAAATATTGGTTTAACTATATATTTTGTTGTTGTTTCATAGTTAACAGAATCTCAGATTTCCTATAACATTAATAATTTTAATCCTTAAAATTAAAACTATTTCCAGTTGCTGAAAGGTCGTCACATGATGGTTCGCGTGGGTGGCGGCTGGGACACCCTCGAGCACTTCCTGTCGCGGCACGAGCCCTGCCAGGTGCGCCTTGTCACGCAGGGCCGTAAGGGCAACGTGCTGCCTGTTACACTTCCACCCACCGACACCGAGGATGCGCAGAAGTTGTCGCCCATCGCTCGCAAGTCGAGTACCATATCACCGGCCAGCAGCAAAAATTCACTCACTAGCAAGGAGCCATCTATCGCCGGCACTGTTTCACCTGTAGATAGTAAAGCTTCTTCTGTAAGCGGCAAAATATCACCAGTAGAAGTTAAAAGCGGTAGAACCACTCGCGCGTCTAGTAAAGCTAGTAGCGGCAAAAACTCCCCACTCCAAGATTCCCGCAAGACTTCAACGCCAATCAAACCTGCTACGACCAGAAATCTAAGGTCAGCTTTAACGTTACCTTTGAAAACGGACTCGGTCGATGGCGGCCAACCAAAGCCAGCAGCACAACGCACTAGAAAACAATCAGCACCCTCTAGCTTTAGCACTCCGAACACACCGACCGGTAGATCGCTTAGGACTCCTCCCTCGGAACACAGAAAGTCGATCACTTCTACCACTTTGTTGAACGCTCCAAAGAAATCGCGAAGTATGAGTTTGGCCGTCGCACAGAGAGAAGAAAAGAAACCATTCTGCGGCACGGATAGACTGAATCAAGTAAAGAAAAACAGAAGCTCGAGCGCTGCGACTACGCCGACTGAAACTGCCACGTCAATCGCACGGAAGACACGCAGCCAGAGTCTCGCGTCGACACCTGTCAACGAGCCGAGGAAATCCTTCTCGGGGACAAATGGTTACGCAAAGAAAACGAGGAGCATGAGTTTAGCGACTCCTGTTGAGTACGCCAGACCTATGAACAAGAGCCTATCGGTAATGGTGAACGGAGCGCTGACGCAGGCCGCCATAGAGGAGAGCATCAGACTCTCTCTAGCAGCCACCATAGCAGATGACGCCTCGCCGAAAAAACCGTTTCTGCACATCAAAGCCAAATACAGGAGTCCCCCGCCGCGGGAAGTACCACCCAGATAATTACTGATCGATGCATTCCTCATTCCATTAGTTTTAAAATTTGACATATTTAAATAGGATACACGACATGTGTTATCGTGTTGCAAAATAGAAATGATTCTATTATTATATTAAGTACGTCGTTACGGGCATTGTAATTGATTTCAATGACAACTGCACTCATATTAGACCTACTGCCTAATTGAATATGGTTTAATAGAAGTTATTGTACCTAGATATTTTTCGATTTAGCAACGTGACAACATGTCGAAAGTGTCTCCTCGTACATTTTAGATATCGCTAACGTGGAAATATGAGTTCAATTAACGCGCGAGCGTCTACAAATAACATGTAAGCATTATTTAGATCTCTTAAGCAATCTCGTCGACATTTATTAGCACGTAGCCGCTTTAATTTAAATCAGGTTCGTACACCCCCCCCCCCTGCGCGGGACTAGTCATAATGAATTGTTTTTGTATTGATGTTATTAATTAAATATTATATTAATGTAATACTATTCCAACTGCAATAATTCGAATATGAATAATAATTTAATTGTATTATAATTTCGGTGAATATTACCTATTTAATAATTAATCCGTCATTAAGAATGTTTGGGCGGAGTGATGTCTCGTTAGATTAATCAATTCCAGGGCCATAATCATTTCTTGAACATTTCTTCGACATAAAATTAGGAGTTATAATTTAAAATATTAGTTTTTATCGTCATGTTTGCCGTTTTATTATCAAGTAACCATACATATTGAATAACACTTTAATCCACAAAATAGTTGATAGTGACAAGTGGCCTCAACAACGATCTGTACGGTACAAAGTTGTCGATATCCACACATCCTATATTTTGATACGGAACATTAGAAAATATTTTTGCACGTCCAATAGATAGATAACATTAGATAGACACACAAATAGCAAGTCAATAGGTGTAGATGGGTAGAAGGAATGTGAAACGTGATTCTCAGGTGAAATGGAAAACATCTTCGACTGTTCGTAATTACATAGAAAGGAAACGAGAATCAAGAAGGAAGGATTCAGTTTCGTGTTATCAGAATGTCTAGTGACGTCAGCGAATTGTGAAAGTTCAAATATTTCCATAGTGGGAACATATATCCTTCATTTTATACGGCTCGATATAAAACTCGGACTGTTATCGATTAAATGGCTAACTTCTGATACACGCCGATGTATCGAGATAGAGTCATTGCGCCTAAAATCGAGAATCGAATTGAGTTTAATTCCATCGGGCCTACTCGAGCTTCGCAACTTATCGATATTATTAAGTGAGCTGTATCTATTCGTGTAACTGCCAATGTACCTTCTACGATACGATACGATTGTGCCAACAATTTTTTTTTTAATAATTATGTATGGTTGATAATAAACTTTTTAATATTCACATTATGCAGTTTTTTTTTTTTTGTTCTTATTAATCCTAAATTAAAAATATATTTGTTATTATCATAGTTTGCCCACTGAAGTTTTATTGATACGTTTTAATTATTTGTAGTTTGGAAGTAATGTCACATAATAGTCGTAGATAGAGAATGGTACAGTCAGTACTAAAAAATCGATGCTTTTCAAAATTTCAACATCACTGCGTCCTTAGAACACAGTTCAGTGAAAATTACCCGAATGTAAGTAGCGATGTAAAATAATTTCATAATCATAATGTGTTTATATCGATTTTTAATGCTGACTGTAACAAATAGTAATGCTTATACAATGGCTAAGTTATTTACAGATATTGCGGTATTACATTTGTATGTTAGTGAGTATTTACAGGATACAGAGGAATAACATCTGAGTCCTCAGGAATAGCAACGATTGGGGCATATCATGGGCAAAACAGTCTGTTATGTCCATGGTACTGCTCATGTCTATAGGCGACAGTTACCACTTTCCATCAGGTGGGCCGTCAACTTGTTTGCCATTCTAAGTTGCATATAATCATTAGTCATTTATTCAAAAAACTAAATATATATATATATATATATATATATATATATATATATATATATATATATATATATATATATATATATATAAATTGTGTCTGTAATTAAGTATGAACATACAAAAAAAAAGTATTAAATTAAATTGAATATTACAACTATTGAATAACAATAATAAATATATTTTACAATCAACAATGTCTGCTTCATCCACAATATATATATGTCAAACTTATTTTTTAATTCTGGTATTTATTTTAATCACCAGTACAAAAGTCATTAAGGGAATAATAGCATTTTTCCAATAATATAATCAAAAATATAAAGTTATTAACAAGGTTATTAAGGTTTTATATCGTTAAAATAAAAACTTCATTTGTGGCCAAAATGATATACGATCGCTATCGATCGATTGCAAATAAAAAAAGAAATGCCAAAATCGGTTTATAATTTGTGAAGATATCGCGTATTCTCAAAAATAACATAATTATTGTAGCCACATGCCGCCTTCCAATTTTACTGTGCAATATGAAACTACATCCTTTAATTGCTTTTCACACGTAAGAGTGTAAGAAATATTAGACGACGTAGATCGATTAGAGATAGCTGTGCTCTTTTAAACGGAGATATTTAGTTTTGTTTGAAGCACATACGCACATTGTCGAATAACGACAATAATGGTAAGTACATAATCTATTCTTTATGCAGAGATATTGGAAAATAAGATTTTGGTCTACAAATGCTTAAATCTTAGATTACGTAGATAGTGTGTCCATAGAAATGCCTCAACAAAAACGGGTCAACTTTTTCATACAATTTTCTGTGATAATTATCCTGATTCCTTTATAACTTCTATATTTATTTTTGTCTTATAATTTATGCCTTTTTTTCGCGGAAACAATCATTTTATTTATTAAATAATATATCAAGATACATTTTATGTGTAAGCATATAGAACACTGATAAAAAAACGAGCTAATTTGACAATTAGCTGACAAAAAGTTGATCCGTTTTTGAGACTCGATGCTCTAGCTACATAAGATTTACATATATTGAGTGAAATCATGGGAAAAAGTAGTATTTTTTGAATATTTAAAAATAGAATGGTAGCCTGCGCTATCGGAATACGCCGGCGGGGCACCAGTGTGAGATAATGTAGGTAAGGATAAAAAAAAGGTCAGTTGGCCCATCGTGACGAATTCAACAGAAATTAACCACGATGATTTCCAATGGAAACTGGGAGTCGATCTGAATACTATCCAACTCTTTCCCTCAAAAAAGTAGTATTGTTTTATCTATGGTAAAATCAAAACATCCTTTGAGTGTTACAAGTGTGAAATGGTACATTTCCTATAGCAATATGCGTCAGCAAACGACACAAAATTATTAGCCTCCCATACTAACTTAAATCGCTGTATGTGCAGAGTTTTTATTTTAATACAATAAAAATTGAATAGTAACCCCGCCTGTGGCACTGGTTTATGCTGACAGTGCATCAGTGAAGAATAATAGGTGAGGGTAGTCTCAGATCAAAAGATTTTAAAAACTGCTCCATACACGAATCATAAATTGCATTTAAAAATAAACCTACCGATGTAAACATACTCGTCAGTTAATATTATACTTTCGATATAAAAGACCTATTAGATTTAGCAGGGTATAAATTCTGATTCGTGTAAGGTGGGCTTTCTAAACTGTCAGTTAGGGGGGGAAAGGGATTGTTAGTAATGGAGACTGAAAATCCTATTGCTAGCAATACACATAAACCCAACCAGGTCGACCTCATCGCGGTTCCCCCTGGAAACTATCATGGTTAATTCCTGATGAATTCATCATGATGGGCTAACTGGCCTGTTTTCATTCTCATCTATCACCCTTCACTGGTGCTCCGTCAGCGTATCCCGTTAGCGCAGGCGAGGTTACCATACCATTTTCACCCAACAAAAAAAAACCTGTCAGTCAACCCATCGTCGACCTGACAAGGTATATTATATTGCTAACATTGTGCCCACTTGTCCCCATTATTAGATTGTTAATCTCATCCCCAATTATCATAGTGTTATGTAGATGCGTGTGTGTGCAGTGCGGCGGCAGGCGATACTGGGCCGCCCTCCCCGGCGGCGGCGGAGACCGCGTGCCGGTGCCCGTGCGTGTGTCGGTGACGCCGCACCGCCGCCGATACACTTACTACAAGAAGATGTTCAAGCCCATGTGCTACTCGCTGCCCGCCCCGCTCAAGGTCTCGCTCGTATGAGGAATTACTGAAGACAGCTGTATATTTTAGGACAATTGAATACCACTTTTCTAAATTCGGAAATCAGCGGCGACCTTAGCTTACATGGCAACTCTGGGCAGAATTTTTGATAGTGTCTTAAACAGTCAGACTTACCAGAGGGAGACTTTGTACAAAAGTCGTTTGCTTGGGTACCTCTGTCCCATTCGTGTTTCTACCGTGAAGCAGTTGTGTTTGCATGGCTGTGTTTCGGTTTGAAGGGTGGCATATGGCGTGAATTTACAGGGTACAGAGGAATAAAATCTGAGTGCTTAGGAATGGCAATGCATGGGGGGTATCATGGGCGGAACAGTATACTCTGTTATGTCCATGGTACTGCTCATGTCTATAGGCGACGGCTACCACTTTCCATCAGGTGGGCCGTCAGCTTGTTTGTCATTCTAAGTTGTATAAAACAAAAATTATCATTTTTTTGTTTTTAAAAATAAACTTGTGTTTATGTTATGTTTCACAACAAGACATCAAACTAACTTTTCAACAAATAAACAAGTCGCAAATAGGTAGATATATAATTCCTTAGTGACTGAAGGATTCGACAAAAAAAACCATTGTATATTTATTTATATTACTTTATTTAATAAAAAAAAACCTTACGGATGTAACGTAAATTAGAAATCGATATAAAAAAAAATAAGTAAAATATAAACTAGGAATGAATATATAAATGCTAATAGCGGTGCATTGATCCACACTCGGTTTCAAACGAACACACGTATAGGTAGAGAGCATAGGCAGTTTAAATGGATACCATTTCTTATTTCGTTTTATTCACATTATTGCATATTGTTTGATAGGTAACTTCAACTGATTTTATTAATACATGTTTATATTTTGCCATAGAATAAGTTATAGCTTCATTTACAAAAAGGCAAAGCTTTTTTCTATAATAATAGTTAATGCGAGCTGGATATAGATAGAAACACAGTGGTCATCTTCATGTACATAGCTTACTGTTTTAACTATGCTATAACTTATTAGAATGTATATTAAACAGACAGTACACACACAGATTATTATGGATTTGTGTCACAGTCTAAAGAACTACACCGGTTGACCAATGGGCACGTCAAGACAGAACGTGTTCCGAATTGTGATACATTCATTCGGGATGCCCCAAAGACAGTGGATTACTGGTTGTTCTTTAAACTGTGGTTGTACACTGCGGTGTTGTGTTAAATTATCGTATACGTGTGTATACAGTAGTTTAACTTACAATCTAGAGCTTAATACAGCTCCCTTCCACTCCCACCATTTGAGCGTTCATAATCGTAGGGAGGGGACAGGTGTTGCCAGTACACAAGTTGGTTATGTTCTAAAAACAAAATATATTTCTTTTGTATAAAATACAATACACGAATATTATGGTATTTAACCTTTAAAATCTTACAACTAAAATGTTTAGTACCTCAGTAATTTTAAGGTGCTTTATCAAACGAAATAAGTCTTTAATTACAAATCTATCCCTTTTACAAAAAATAGCAACATTGCGTTCTCTCACCAAAATTTTTTCGTTCCATAATTCTATGGACACAGTTTTTCCAAAATCCTGTAAAATTGCTTCAAAAATATATCATAAATCAAAGTTTACAAATTAAAGGTAATTAAAAAAGTAACATTTGGTAAAGGCAAGAGACATGTGTTAGTAGGAACAGACACTGAGTCCTCTCTGCTTACTTCGTGAGATAAATATTTAAGATGCATGTTGCGATTTTTTTAGCAAGGAGGTTGTTAAAATATTTGTTTTAAGAGTGTGTGTACGTAGGATATTTGTTATAATTTGTATTCTTATAAGAAAATTTAGATGAATGCAATTGCAAATAAGCCAAAGACGCTATTTAATTACATTACATTAAATAGGTACGAAATCATCAGGTCTACGAAATAGGCAATGGTTATTAGGTGCTCTGTATGCGCGACTTTCAATAAACTATTTAAACATAACTATATTTAGTTTTCATATAAAACTTATGTGCTACTTTCAATACTCAATACGTTATATCGTATATTAATATAAATCATCAGAATCATTTTGAGTACGCAATGTGAAACCGTTATTAATCGTGACGAGATCGTGATGCCTCTTAGACAACCAAAAACATGGAAAAATCCCAGGTGAAGATGGAATTACAACTGAACTTCTGAAGGCAAAAGACTCTCTAATTCTTGGAGCCTAAGAAGCTCTTCAACTCCATCCTCTTCACTGAGAGACCTCCGTAGGCATGGAGTAAAGACCTGGTCGTTTTACTTATCAAAAAGGGAGATAAAAACCCTTTTGGAAAGTAATCGACACATCTTGCTGTAGAGCCATGCCTACAAGTTGTTTTCAAGGGTCATCACGAATTGTCTTACGCAACGACTTGACGAGTTTCGATCCCAGAGCAAGTCGGGCTTCGGAGTGGATATGGCACTATAGGTTACATTCAGACAGTGCGGTAGAGTGTTACAAAAGAGCTATCAGTCCATTTGTCTAGCTTTTATTGCCTATGAAAAGGCGTTTGATTCCATCGAAACCTTGTCTATTTTGGAATCCCTGTAGCGATGCGAAGTCACTTGGCAATATATCGAAATGTTGAGATGCCTCTATGATCTTGCCACAATGATTGTCCAAGTAAAAAACCAACAAATAATCATATTCGTCTGCGACGAGAAATGAGAGAGATGTTATATCCCTTAAATTGTTCATACCTGCTTTAGAGAATATGTTCAAAATGCTGGACTGGAAAAATTGTGGCATTATATCAATGGTGAGCACATCTCTCACTTAAGATTTGCAGACGACATTCTCAACATGGCCGAGTCGCTGCAGGAGCTACAGCAAACTCTGAACAGCCTAGCGGACTTGTCTCAACGTCTCGGTGTTTAACGATCGGGTTCATCCAGAACCGATTGCTATAAATGTATGAAATGCTCTTGAAATTGTTCAGGAATATGTTTATCTAGGATAAACATTCCAACGGAGTACGAACAATTTTGAGAACAAAGTCAAGAGACGAATACAACTGGGCCGGACAGCCTTTGGTCAGGACTCCTCGTCGTCTCTACATCTCCCGATCGACTCCGAAACAAAAGAATTCCATAGAGGACCAAAATTACCAAAATAACTCAATGAATTTGCAAGCTGAGAGGCAGTGGACTAGTTATATATTTATATTTAACGTATTCGAGTATTGAATCCCTTATTCTAGTCAATACAGCTAAATGTAAATAATTATTTAGTTTTAATACATTTGGTAGATATATTTTATAACCAAACCTGGTTAGTCATTTGGCCGATTTTACCTAAACATAATATTATATATTAGCAATGAAATTAGGATATTTATTGTAATAAAAAAAAAAGTGCACAAAAAGAAAAAAATTATTGTAAATTGCGTAGAGTGGAAAGATTTAGAAAATAATTGTAATAATAAGACGAAGAAAACAATTCTAGAAACTTTCTGAGACATTTTGGATAATTTAGAAGTATTTGTAACATTTATACAGCCAAATATTTTCCTGCACCCCCTATATATAATATGTAAATGATAATTACAAATTTTTTAATATCATTGTTCCATAATAAGATGCTAGGCCAAGAATGCGTAGCTCTATGTAGGATTAACTTACGAAAGTCTTCTTTATATATTTATATTATATCTAATAAGATTTAATTTTTATGTGTACGCCGCCACACAAATATATTATTAATCAGTCACTAATTAAAATCTAAATATTTTCAATGAAACAATTTTAATTTTTTTTTTAAAAGTCAAGGTTATATTTTGAAAAATTATGCTTTAATCCAACTATTAACTCCAATAGTTACAAGCAAGTATTCGTAATTGAAAAATTTGTAAAATTTTGTGAGTTTTTTTTTTTTATTTTGTATCGATGTAACATTTAAAACATTCTACATAATGTAATAGCTATATTGAATACTATCCAAGTACATTTTACAATTGGATACATTAAATACATGGAATTTTGGATGGAAACTCAAAAGTAATGCTGACCTAAATATAAACATTTGAATGATAATAATAGCATACTTTGAATTTATTACGTCCAAATATTTTGAATGACTTAAATATAACTCTTTATTTACATTGCTTATTCTATTACGGGCTAAACACGCTATGTTCGCTAATTAATAGTGAAATGATAAATCATCTAGTTTCCATGGAAATGCATTGCGACTTATCGTTGCAGTATCAATTATGCAGCGTATTTATTTAAGTGTATAATATAGATAACTTTAAATGTACTTAAAAATAATTAATTTGAAATCTTAGATTATATAGATAGAGTGACCAGTGTCAGAAACGTGTCAATTTTTAGTCAGCCATTTTAGTATTTGACTGACTAAATCATGGCACATAATTTTCATCGAAACAATCGTAATTTTTTGTTTCAGTGTTGCAAGTGATTGAATTTGAAATTACCCAAATCAAGTTGATTTTTTTAAATTAAAATTAAATACTATTTTTCTGTTATAATATAAATATTGATATATAAATATTGTTTACAAAATAATATATATGTTTTAATTAAAATGGTGGTGGTATTTAAAGACGAAAACATGTTTTAGATCTGTGCTTAGAAATATACCAATGTATTATAAATATACCAATAATTATAGTAAAAATAAGCATCATTACGAATCATAATGAACGATATCTGATTATTTAAAATATATATGTTAAGAATTATGCATATTTTTTATTTTTCAATTTAAATTTACAATAAAAATTTCTCCCTTATACTTTATAATTAATGTACATAATGGTAACCCTATTCACGCACACATGAATAAAAAAGCCGACTTGTTCTTAGTGATGAATTTGTATGGAGACATTCAATCTATAACATCTAAGTTTCAAATAAAGTGTGATGTGACTACGTGACGTAGTATGGAAGATTATATAAAATAAAATGTTACGAACCATCCCCTCTCCTCGTTCACGCCCCCGCCGGTACCAGGCTCGCACGATTCGCAAAGAGTTCTCCGCAATTACTTCTTCTTGCTCTTACCGAGTGTAAGCGTGTGGTGCGACTGCGCGGTCTGCTGCTTACGCCGGTTGAACTCAATCGTGTCGTCCTCTATCTTCTTGCGGAGTTCTTCGAGGCGTTTCTTTTCATCCGTGTGGTCCTTCTTCAGTTTGTCAAATTTGGCGTGGAGCTGTGGAATAAAATACATTATTAAGTGACTACATTTCAATTTTATTATTATTATTTACTTACTAGCTGACCCTGCAAACGTTGTTTTGGCATATGCATTATTTTTAGAAAAGTTCTTTTAATTCAATTAAAAATAGCTAACACTGTAAGTGTGTTAGGATGTAATTATGATTGGAAGGGGAATGAAGCGTTGTAGGCAATTAAAGTATACTTTATTTAAGTTAACAAATTATTCATAATAACAAATACATATTAAATTACAATTCTTAATAGATAATATTTAATATAATTATAATTCTTACATCGATAATTTTTTTTTTTTATATTTTTACTAATAATTATGGCAATTAAAAAATAAACAAAGATAAATCTCTCAGCGCAATGAAAACCTAGGCACCAAACATTTGGGGATATTGCCCATAATACATAAACGTGTGGGTATTAAAAATAACTTTTTTCTTAAATTGACCTGGCAGAGAATTACCTGTAACCTTATTTACATACAAAGCAACATGTCTACCACTGTCTTACAGAGGTCATATTGTTATACATATAATTTATCTTATATATATATATATATATATATATATATATATATATATATATATATATATATATATATATATATATATATATATATCAATTTCTGGAATAAGAGGTTTGTGAGTAATATAGACTTTTTTATGCAACTTAAAATGGCAAACAAGTTGACGACCCGCCTGATGGAAAGTAGTAACGGTCACTTATACAACATGAACCATGAACATGATAGTACTGCCATGGGCATAACAGAGTATACTGTATTGCGCATGTTACTATGATAACTAAGATCTTATACCAGCGTTGAAACCGAAACGCAGCCATACAAACACAACACAAGTGCAATGACTTTTGTATAAAGTCTTCCTGTGTTACGTGATACGCACCTCTTTCTCGGCCTCCTTGAGCTCAGCCTCCTTCTCCTTGACTCGCTGCACGAACATCTGGCGCATCTCGTCCTCCTTCTGCTGCAGCTCCGCCAGGTGAGCGCTGCGCTTCTGCTCGAACGTCTGCTGGAAGGATACCTGCACCAAACGATACCACTCACATTATAAGCATATAACATTAACACACTACAGTGCATGGCAGTTTTAGGGTCTAATTATTATATATTTATATATATAATTTATTAATATTTATATATATTATATATTGCAAAGAATGAGAAGTAAGACGGGCAATAAGAATGTCAAAAGTTTATAAAGATGTTTATAATAAATTTGCAACGGCTGAATGGATTTTAATGAAATTTGATAGTCGAGTAGGTCATACACTACAATCCTGTTCACTTTTCAAGAAATAAAAAAAAAAAATATTTGCAATGTTTGTCGACCAAATTGGTACTTAAAATATTAGCGAAGCCAATCGTGTGTACGTACGGGCTTGTTGTCCGCGTCGACGTCGGTGAAGCCCATCTGCTGCAGGCGGCGGCGGCGGTACAGCTCGTAGTGGCGCGCGTGGGTCTTCTCGCGCATGTCCTCCATGTTGGTGCGGATCAGCATCTCGCGCAGCTTCACGAAGTCACAGTGCGACTCGTTCTCCACTGCAACCGGGACAGAAACGTATAGTGTTCGTCGGTCAGAGACGAGAACATCACCACTGTGCTAACTCCGAGAAGAGTTACATTTATTTGACGAAAGTTTGAGACGATGAATGGAATGAAGATAAAACAACATTTGGTTATAATATTAAACATCTAAAATTATAGTTTTATTTATTATTATTATTATTTCAGCCGCTAACTGTCCACTGCTGGACATAAGCCTTCCCCATAAGGGAAGTTTTGCCTTTGGAGATGTTTTAAGAGGGACGCTGCTGTCCATTCCTCCGCCTCCCTTAGTCGCCTCTTACAATATCCACGGGAAAGGAAGGGGTGGCCTATTCTATGCTGGAATCACACGGACAATCATCGGAGCTGATTACGTCAGTTTAAATATTGAAAATGGTTTACAAAACACATTGTGTTGACATCTTCACATGATAATAATACTAGAAATCAACGTGCCGTGTACCGACCTTGCACAGTGCCCCAGGGGTACTGCCTGGCGCGCACCGTCTTGTTGCCGATCTTGACGAAGTCCGTGCTGCCGACCACCGCGAACGGTATGTGAGAGTTCATGGTCGAGTTGGTCTCCGACACGGACTCGTCGTCCACCGGGAACTGGTATATCTCCACGCCGTTCGCCTGGAGCTCTTGCATTATTTTCGACTGCGTACAAAAATTTACATAAATGTTTTAATTTTTTGTCACCAAATTTTACAAATATATTTGTAGCTAAACGCTGTTTAAACATGGGAGATATTTAAGAAAAATATATATGAAAAATATTAATAAAAGAAGAATTAATAAAATTCAATATAATCATTTTTAGAAATTTTCTCTTTTTCGGCATCACGCAAAAGCTACTGCACCAAATTAGATACGGTTTTTATATTTGTGTCCCTAAAGGTCTAACTTAAAATCCGATATACTTTTTAATTTAAAACGCCATCTAGAAGTGGTAAATTTAGTTTAGTTTTTCAACCTCTGAAATTCACGGACAACACTGCTATCGATTGAAATATGCTCGAGATTTAACTTTATTACAGATGAATATCTGATACTTCCATTAGAAATGCAATGAAAAAGTCGCGTAAAATTATTGATATAAAAACAATAAACAATAAAAGCTAAATTAGACTTTCGTAGGTAAAATTTATATAAAAACAAAGGCTGTTCGATCCGTCTCAGCATTGCATTATAAATACGCGAATATGAAGGATCGTTTCGTATCCGACTCGCTGCTTCTGCTATCAAATGATTATGTATACCTTGAATTTTTGTAATTCAGTCTTGGAGATGGTGTCCGCCTTCGCAATAATAGGTATGATGTTGACTTTGGTGTCCAGCTTCTTCATGCACACGAGGTCGATGGACTTCAGGCCATGGCCTGAAACAATGTAAGGAATATGTAAGTTGACATTAAAAACAAAAAAAAACATCTTTTAAACTTTTTTTACCCTACTTTACTAACGTTAATCATAGAATACTTTGCAGATAAATCGAACTAATATATATTGTTTTAATAATTATTATATTAATTTTTTTTCAAACTATTTTTAAATTTAATTATATTTTGAAATACTTTTAATGTTTTTTTTTAATATATTTAAAATTTTAATGCAAGCTGTCAAGATGACGACCCTTTGCGTTTGGACCTCATTACTTGCCTACCAACAGGTAGGCTATGGTCACATTGACTAAACCCCATAAAAAAAATGTAATTAAGTAAAAAATATAATAAGTAAACAAACAAATCATTATAATTTACAATTTTTGTCTTCTTTTAGATTTTTATAAGAGACAGGAATTGACGGGACCACCAAAGTGAAATAATGTACCTGAGTCATCCCGGCGTCTCGACCATGTCGCACCGGCCGCGTCCACGAATACACTGAGGTAGCGTCGCGTTAATTCCCGTCTCAGGTAAACTATACAACTTTTATGTTCATTTCCATTACAGATATTAGGATTCCGTATCAGAAGGTTACAAAGAAAAACTTCATAATGCAACTATGTCCGTGCGCTCTGTCACAGGCATTATATCTTAGCAATTAGTAATGCTATGGATTTGAAATTTGGAATAGTTTTACATGCCATTAGCGCGCTATATATTGCAATATATTCTGACACTTCCCTATGGTTGACTGGGAGAGAATGCTTTTAGCATTAAGTCCGCCATGTACACATATATGTACTGATGAATAAATAAATAAAATAGAAATACTTAAAAAAATATTCTTATTGTCTTTACTAGGGCACTCCAAAACGGTTAATAATAATTTCAAAATTGACCTTAGTAGGTAAATTTTGAAACGTTTTGATACCCTGATGCGCCAGAAGCCCTTGCATATGATACTCTACGTGGACTTGTGTCCATCGCATATCGTATCATACGCAAGAGCTTCATTTGTACATTTTAAAACTGGTTTTTATTTTATTTATATGAGAATAAATAAACGATATTTCTAACACTGTTTATGACAAAATATTAAAAAAATCTTCCAAAAGAAACTTAATTTTGTTGTTGGGTTTTTAACCACATTTACGGTTTAAATACGCAATTACTAACTTTAATAATAATAATTAATCATTAATAAAAAAATAAGAAGGTTATTTTTATATTATATTTAAAATTTATACATTTAATTACATTTAAAATTAATTGTCCTTTTCCATCCATTATGTTTATGTACAATAAACAAAATATATTACTAGCGACCCGCCTCGACTTCGCACAAGTAGTAAAGCATATATGCTTACATTTTTTGCATTCGCTTGTCGCGTCGAGTATAAATTAGATGGGTATAGTAATTTATCCTTAAAAGATAGACATAGGCCATCGTAGACATTTTAGTAGACCTATAAAAGAGAAACTATTCCATTTGTTAAAATTTTAATATATTGTTGTTGTACGGAAATATCCTACATCCTATCCTAGTACTCTGCATTACTCAGTACTACGCTAGTACTTTTTCATATACTGTACCTATCTATTTTTTTTGGTGGGTGAAAATGGTATTATTGGTGTAGTGGTTTTATTTCTCATGGTGTTTTAAGCGTATTGTTGAAGCAACGGCGACTGTACAACCTATTTTTTTTTCTTTAAATAAAAAAAAATTAAATATTTAAAATTAATTAATAATAATTAATTTCTAAAGAAAACAAAAACTTTTTAGAGATATTTTATGTACGGAACCTTCTGAGAGTGAGTTCTTGTTAAAATTATAAATTAGGAATAAAATAGAATTATTTGATTTGCCATTACAATGTATGTAAATATTTAAATAAAAACTTATATTACATAGAAATAATATTACAAAAAAGATATTTATTACTAAATTTAATATAATATTAATTTGTCATATATATTTATTATTGCTATAGTCATGTCCTATTTATAAGTCACGTGGTCAGTCATGAGCAAATAGGTAAAATCATTTACAACGTTTGTAACAACAGTAACTGTAACCAAGGAGCTTCTTTCTACGACGTTCTCTGCATGACGTTATTAATTAATAATGCACAACGTACATCGATCCAATTACTTTTATTTTACACTAGCTTATTGCCCGTTACTTCGTACGCTTGGATTTCATAAATAGAATCAATCAATGAAACAGTATTGTAGATGGCGTTTTAAAATAAAACATCAGATTTTAAGTTACACCTTCTTTTTAGTACAGTAGTTTGTGTGTGTGAGCACACACCACCCAAAACCTCTGTAAGGGGGAAAAGGGATTGTTAGTAATGGAGACTGAGAATCCCATTGCTAGCAATATACCCAACCATGTCGACCTCCTCGCGGTTCCCTCTGGAAACTATCATGGTTAATTCCTGATGAATTCATCATGATGGGCTAACTGGTCTGTTTTCATTCTCATCGATCACCCTCACTGGTGCCTCGCCAGCGTATCCCGTTAGCGTAGGCGGGGTTACCATTCTATTTTCACCCACCAAAAAAAAACTGTAAATTACTTGCATAGTGAAAACACAATTTTATGGTTTTTTTTATGAGTTATAATAACCTGCGCTATCGGAATACGCTAGCGAGATACCAATTAAAGATAACAGGTGATGATGTAATCAGGACGGTTGGACCATTGTGACAAAATTATAAAAAAATAACCGAGATGGTTTCCAGAGGGAACCGCGTAGAGATGCACCTATATTTTTTTTTTTTTGTTCTTTTTTTTATATACAACTTAGAATGGCAAACAAGCTGACGACCCACCTGATGGAAAGTAATAATCGTCGCCTATACACATGAGCAGTACTATGGACATAACAGAGTATACTGTTTCGCCCATGATACCCCCCCTCCCCCATGCGTTGCCATTCCTGAGAACTCAGGTGTTATTCCTTTGTACCCAGTAAATTCACTGCTATATCCCACCCTTCAAACCGAAACACAGCCATGCAAACACAACTGCTTTCCGGTAGAAACACAAAAGGGACAGAGGTACCCAAACAATCGACTTTTGTACAAAGTCTCTCTCTGGTAAAGATAGTACCTGGTAGGGTGTATTACTAGCAATGGGGCCGCTAGTCCCCGTTACCAACAATTCCTTTTCCCGCCTAACTCCTCTATTGTTAGTCTTAACCTACCTTGGTAACACGTTTTATAAATGCATTTATCGGCGACGGTGATGTCATTCGTGCACATGCATATTCTTTTTCGCTTTTATAGCAAAATGCATGAGAATATGACTCTATACGACACGGCTACACCTCTTTATCTGGAATGTAAGCTGATAGCTGCCGACGACGCGGCTGTTTATGCAAGCAAAATATGTAAAACAATGATTTAATTTTAAATAAACTGGAAAAAAACCTACCATTTTAATAAAATATGACATTTTTAATGATGGTGTCGTAAGAAGCGACTAAAGGAATTTAATGGCAGAGGGTTTTTTTTTTATACTACTGAGGTGGCAAACGAGCATACGGCCCACCTGATGGTAAGTGGTTACCGTAGCCTATGAACACCTGCAATACCAGAGGTATTACACGCGCGTTGCCGACCCTGAAGAAACCTCTTTACCCCCCTTTTGAAGAATATTTTTATTTGGATTATGTTATGGTAACCCCGCCTGCGCTTTCGGTATACACTGGCGGGGCACCAGTGAGAATTGATTGGTGAGGATGAAAAGACAAGTCAGTTAGTCTATCATGACGAATTCAACGATAAATTTGTAACGATAGTTTCCCGGGGAAGCCGCGTGGAGGTCGACCTGATAGGGTATATTGCTAGTAAAGGGGCTATTAAACCTCATTAATAACAATTCCTTTTCCCCCAATGGTAGAGAGATGGGCAGCAGCGTCCCTTTTAAAACATCACTAAATATGTAACTGCCGTTGCCAACTCGCCTGCCAAGCGTGGCAACTACTGGCAAAACTCCTCTTATGGGGAAAGTTTAGTCAACGGTGGACAGTTAACGGCTGAAATGATATGATGATGTGATTCTAAATGGTGTCATTATGAATTATGTAGTACTATATATATATATATATATATATATATATATATATATATATATATATATATATATATATATATATATATATATATATATATATATATATATATATATATTGAATGCAATTTTCACTAATGCGTTGCGGTTTCCACCTCTCAACATTTAGTGTTTGTTTCATGTCAATCGGTTCATAAATAAAAAAGTTATGTCAAATTAAAGAATCACGTCCAAAATGCTATAAAAATAACCGATCAGTTGAATTGGGTGAAACTTTTTTATTGAAAGTATTAATTTTTGAAAACTCTGTCTACTCGTGCAAAGCCGGGTCGGATCGCAAATTTTTTTGATAGGTGAAAATAGTATGGTAATCCCGCCTGCGCCAACGGGATACGCTGGCGAGGCACCAGTGAAGGGTGATAGATGAGAATGAAAACAGGTCAGTTAGCCCATCATGATGAATTCATCAGGAATTAACCATGATAGTTTCCAGGGGGAACCGCGTGGAGGTCGACCTGGTTGGGTATATTACTAGCAATGGGATTCTCAGTCCCCATTACTAACAATCCCCCCCCCCCCCCGGATCGCTAGTTATAAATATGTACAAGGGAGCATAATGACTACAACTGTCATACAAAACTATGCATGTAACAGCGCACCTAGTCCTCTGTTTGTTTGTTAGTCACTTTAATCATATGTACACACGGCTATCACCACTGGGGAATGTTAAACAGTTGTTTTCAAATGAGCCATATACTTCCTTCTTGCGTCTATTTTTAACTTTACAAAATTTAACACTAAACCTACCGAGCGCGGTCAAATGACCGTTTTTGAGATTTAGTTTAAAAAAATTCATGTATAACGTTACTGTATCACCATGTAACTTATTGACTTTATCTATAATATACATACAACCCTTTTTTTTTATATTTCCAACTATTATTTACTTGTTTACTATCCAATTGGCTAAAATCTCTTAGCTTTAAAAATAAAGTATATATCTATAAAGATACATATTTTATTTTAAAGCGAACATTTGACCGCTCATGGTAGGACTTTTTTTTAAATATATGATAATGGAATGGTAACCCCACCCGCGCTATCGGTATACACCCGCGGGGCACCAGTGAAGGATGATAGTTAGCCCATCGTGACGAATTCAACAAGAATTGTCCACGATGGTTTCCAGGGGGAACCACGTGGAGGTCGACCTAATAAGGCATATTGCTAACAATGGGGCTATCAAACTCCATTGCTAACAATCCCTTTCTCCCCCTCATGGTAGAATTAGGTATATATGAAACGTCGGTAGGTTTAGTGTTAATATTTATCAATATATTATAAGCCAAAAGAAATACAATGTGAATGTGGTAGAATGCGGATGCTGGGGGAGACCCAAAATGACAGATTGAAACTGATAGATTAAAAAAAAGAGAACTCGTATTAAAGTATTAGCCGTATAAAAAAAATTCAACAGAGGGAGGCTTTGTACAAAAGTCGTTTGCTTGGGCACCTCTGTCCCATTCGTGTTGCAATCGTGAAGCAGTTGTGCTTGCACGGCTGGGTTTCGGTTTGAAGGGTGAGGCGTGGCAATGAATTTACAGGGTACGGAGACATAACACTTTGGCCTTCAGGAATGGCATGGATGGTGGTGTCGTGGACGAAACAGTATACTCTGTTATGTCCATGGTACTGTTCATGTCTATAGGCGACGGTTACCACTTTCCATCAGGTGGGCCGTCAGCTTGTTTGCCATTCTAAGTTGTATAAAAAAATACGTTGCTATTCCTGAGGACTCAGATGTTATTCCTCCGTACCCAATAAATTTACGCCATATCCCACCCTTCAAACCGAAACAAAGCCATGCAAACACAACTGCTTCACGGTTGAAACACGAATGGGACAGAGGTACTCAAGCAATCGACTTTTGTACAAAGTCTCCCTCTGGTCAAACCTCGAATTTCGTTACATCTGTACCTACATTGTAAATATAAGGTAATGTAATCCTTAGGGTGTAACGGTAACTAAGTGACGTGAACTACAAGTAACACTAACCCTAAATTCTAGTTATATATTCCGTTAGTTACAAGGATGGCCCCAGAGGTATTAACTTTCGCGCGTACATTACTGTGCCGCGCGCGACCTGAATATAATCAACAGGGCGGCGGGGGGGCGGAGGGGGGCGACGTTGTGTCAAGGGCGAACCGTCACATTAGGTCACTGGCGCACTAGTGGACATAATGAAAACAATGTGGGGTCAACATCGGCATTATTTCAACATTGAAATTTAATAAACAAATCTATACATATAATAAAACTGTAGAGGTCGCATGTCTGTTCATAGAAAAAAAAAAAACCGCTAAAACCGAGTCAGGGGGACGTTAGAAGTGAAATAGAACAAATCCATATTTTTTATAAAGTTTTGTTTCTCTGTCTGTTTGCCTGTATGTACGGGCTACTCTCCAAAACTGTTGGACCGATTTAAATGAAATTTTGCATTGTGGTACCTTACATTTGATAATTTTAATAACGGAAAATTAAAGAGTTCCCGTGGGATAGTTACAAAACTATAGTAACTTAAACAGCTTAGTACACAACCTACTTAAATAAAGTCATTTTGACCTAAGGCAAAGAGTGAGAACGACACGTCACTTGTTAATTTTGGGTCCAATATTCCCAGACATAGTTCACTACAATAAGGAGATTAAAAATGTTAATCGAAGGAATAACAAATAACACGCGGACAAAGTCGCGGGCAACAGCTAGTTAATAATAAATGTATACTCTTCTCTTATATGTATATTTACATATTTTGATACAAAAAATAATAATAATCGTCTGCATGGGTACCTCTGTCCCACTCGTATTATTGCCGTGAAGCAGCTGCATTTGCATGGCTGTGTTTCAGTTTGAAGGGCTGGATATGGCAGTGGTATTACAGAGTACGCAGGCATACTATTTTCAACCTCAAGAAGGGCAACGTATGAGGAGTACCATGGCCATATTAATATATTTTGTAATGCCTATGATGCTGTTTCTATCTACAGGCGACGGTTACCACCTTTCAACATGCGGGCGGACAGCTTGTTTGCCATTCTAAGTGTCATAATAAAAATACAAAATATATAGAAATAAATATTTGAATTGAGCTCTTATATGTATAATGTGACACAATGCAATCGCACATTACAATGAGTTACATTTTTTTTTTGTTGGGTGAAAGTGGAATGGTAACCCCGCCTGCACTAACGGGATATGCTGGCAAGGCACCAGTGAAGGGTGATAGATGAGAATGAAAACAGGCCAGTTAGCCCATCATGATTAATTCATCAGTAATTAACCATGATAGTTTCCAGGGGGAACCGCGTGGAGGTCGACCTGCTTGGGTATATTGCTAGCAATGGGATTCTCAGTCTCCATTACTGACAATCCCTTTCCGAGTTACGTTGTTAATGAGAAATGGAGAAAAAGACAGACAATTTAAAAATGAGCAGTCATAGCAGCGTCCCTGTGTGAAAATATCACCAAAGCAAAGGTGGCAACACCCACCAGTAAGGAGAGGATTATGTTCAGCAATCTAGTGATATGAGGTGTCCATGGACTCAGATCAGATCAGAGTTGGTAAAATTTTAGTTTGTCATTAGAGTTTACGTCATGCAGCCTATGATTCATGCTACATAATCTATGCAATTAGCATGTATGTGAGTTAGTAGGTCCGAGCATCTAACTTAGCCTCTTAAATCGGCTATTTTAATTATGTGCGGATAGTTTGTCAGGCTTCTCGCAGTGTCATGATTGGACCACTTCGTGTATAAATATTAACCCAACTTGACCATTCCAGTAAGCTAGAATATAAGTATCTATATAGCTAACAACGCGTGACGCTATGTAGAAGCTAATTGGCCGGTCTTGTCGCATACACATGTCAGATACATTCTCCAAAATTCCTAATATTTCTGTAAAAATGTACTTAAACTTGTTTCTATATAAAACTCACAAACCACAAGGAATCACATTTATATGAATTTTTAAAGTATTCCATATTTAAATGTCAATATTGTCAAAATAGTGCAGAGCTTAGTGACTGACGTTATAACGTTCAATACATATATCGATATTTAAGTTCGAGTTTATAGATATTGAAATCTGTCCAAAATTAAGGCTCAGCGGGTCTACCATGAAATGAAATTCCGAAATTTCGGACTCAATTTCGTGTTTTTGTTTATACCAAAATTGGGCCAATAAATGGAGTTTAACATTTCTTTCGTCATACAGTCAAAAATAACAATATTTTATTATAACATTTTTAATATTTCCAAACGGCATGTATTATGTAATTCTAACATCAAATTTGTTTTGGCTCCGAAATTTCGGAAAACATTTCATGGTAGACCCTCAGAGCCCACTTAAACTTCGTATGTCAATAAAGAAGTATAGACTTTAGAAATATGATGAAGAATACTGACCGGTGACAAATAAACTCGTCATTGCACTAGTGTGTAGGCACGCCCTCCTACCATGACGGGCAACATCGCTTGGATTACAAAAAGTTCATGACCAAAAAATTACTTTTCTTTATTTCCAAAGATTTCAACTATGACGGAATCCTCGGTCAGCAAAGTCTTAATAAGCAAGTAGTCATTACAATTGCATAGGCAATGGTACCAAATTGGAGGAATGACCGGTGACAACCGGTTCCCATACAAAATGCAGTATCATCCCGTACAGTATTATTCATCTCCTCTATTTAAATATCTACACTTCTAAAAGTGCACTCGACAATCTGAAGATCAACAGCTTTAACAGTATAATTTTTTTTTATACCACTGAGGTGGCAAACAAGCATACGGTCCACCTGATGGTAAGCGGTTACCGTAGCCTATGAACGCCAGCAATACCAGCCGACCCTGAAGAAACCTCTTTACCCCCCTTTTGAAGAACCCCATGCTGTAGTCTCTTGGGAAAACCTCGGCAGGCAACTCATTCCATAACCTGAGTGTTCATGGGAGAAAACATCCCTGAAACCGCGTTGTACGCGACCATTTAGGCTGTAAGGTATGAGGGTGAACTTCCTGTCGATGGCGATGGTCGATGAAGACTATTTAACTCACCTGTTGGACAAATGAAGTAGAGACACACGTGCAGCCGACTGTCGTGGTAGGCACCCAGCGACCTCTTAATTTTGAGCTCCTCCTGCAGATACGCCTCGAACTGGGCGTCGATGTAGTCCACCACGGCCTTAAAGCTATCCTCCTTGTTGACTTGGTCTCCGTAGCCGACAGTGTCGCAGATTGTTAGCTGTCAACAAATTTAGACATGACAAGTTTATTAACCATAGGAATCAACCATATTTTTTTTATAATGAGATAACAGTATATATATATATATATATATATATATATATATATATATATATAATGACAAAATGGCCTTGCACAACATGAATCATCATCCACTGCTGAATAAGCCTCCTCCTTGGGGGGGGGGGGTTACCAGTAGTTGCCACGCTTGTCAGGTGGATTGGTAACCACATTTAGGCTTTAGAAATATTTAAAGATGGACGCTGCTGCTCATCCCTTGCCTTCACTTAGTCGGCTCTTACGACATCCACATGAAAGGAAGGGGCGGCCTATTCTATCCAGGGCCACATGGACAACATACATGTGTATTCACAAAAATGCAATTTTAAATGTAATTTAAGATCAGATAATATTCATATAAAAAAAATGTCTCTCATTCAATTTTAAAGCTTTACAGGTTGAGACAAACATAAAAGAAAATAAGGTGTGAACTGCTTCCCTCGTAGAAAGACAATAATGTCCTTTTACTCATAAATTAAAATATAAAGTTAATATTTTTCACCATGCTATATACTATGATGCGGATGAGATCCTAGATAGACAGTTAAGTCAATTTAAATTTTTTTTTTTTTATCATAGTTTTAGTTTGGAGTATTTTGACTGTGTCTACAGGCATTCATTGGCAGTATTGCCATTTATTTGAAGTCCAGGTGATTACTGTAATTGTGTGACACTTAATATTATTATTTTATATATACCCTTAAAATAAAATAGAAGTAGCCTTTGATTAGATAGGCATTTAAATAAATATTATGTAATATAAATTTACCTTAAGTCGCACATTGCTCTCCTGTAACTCATAGGTGTGGGCCTTTAGCTTCACAGTCGGCAGGTTGTGTGGACTTGGGGAGGACTCGAAGTTGGTATTGAACAGTGAATCCATGAGCGTAGACTTGCCCAGGCCCGTCTCACCTGATAGTTGGATAAATTACTTTTAATAATGAATAACAATATCAGAATGATCAATATCCAAATAAGTACGGCAAACAAGCTGAGATCTTGCATTTTGGAAAACAGTAACCATCACCTACAATTATGAACAGTATCACAGATATATATACAATACTGTTGCACACCCACACATACACAAAAGTTTATTTACATGTACGGCATAATAGCAACATTATAACTAACAAATTGACATTACTGTGAAGGAATTCTGTCTCCATACACTATAATTTTACTAATATATGTCTTTCAAACTAAAACATAAACAAATTTACTCATTCAAACTTAAAACACCAAATGGTTTCTCACCAATCAACTTTTAAAATAGCAAAAAGTAATTATATGGTGGAAAATAATAAATATTGAAAACATAGATACATGCATGATAGAAACTAAACATAAGACTGAGGTACCCAATCACTTGACCTTATACAAAGGATTTTCCTAAGGAAAGATGTATTAATATAAATAATATAAATAAATGTATTATTAACCAACCTCTAAAAGGTTATGAAGGGCCAAATTAAAAGTACCCGTAACCGGCGAGCATGTATGACAAGATTGATGAATGTGGAAGAAGCGAAAGAGGTTTGTTTGAATCGAAGCATTTGGCGTTCCATTATTTCTGCCTACCCTAATGGGAGACAGGCGTGACAGATATGTATGTATGTAAAAGGTTATGAATTTTTTATGGAACTTAGAATGAAAAAATTAAGGCCTATCTCATGGAAAGTAGTAACCATCGCTTCTAATCATGAAGAGAAAAAGATATTTTACAGAATAATTGTGACACTCAAGTATCGTGTATTCCTCTACTATATGTTATGCATAATCATCATCATATTAAACTGTCCACTACTGAACATAAGCCACCCCCTCGGGGGGTTTTGCCAGTAATTGCCACGCTTGGCAGACAGATTGGTCATGCATGATATTTGCCACTAACTACTAAATTTTTTTGTTATTTCTATTGTGTATTTTGACATTGGGCCTATACAACATTTAACCTTTACAAACTTTCACTATTTAATAAATAAATCACAGGGTACTGAGACCCCTTATTCCTCAAGAATGGCAACACATAAAGGTTATCATGGGTGATACAGTATATTCTGTTATGTCCATGGTAATGTAACTGTATATAGGTGATGGTTACCACTTTCCATCATGTGGGCTATCAGCTTGTTTACCAAACAAAAGTAGCATAAAAAAAGTAATAGGTACCTACAAATAACATGAAATGTTATGAGTCATAAATATTATTAATGAGGCACTTAATATGCGTAGAGTGCAACAATTTACTATAGTGCACCCACTGAACCTTGCAGTACATGTCGAAACATTAACGAAACCGAAGATAAGACGCGACACCTACTATACGTGGGTGATTAACTTGCAACATAGATAATGAAAAACACTTACCGATACACAGGATGTTAAATACGAATCCATTTTGGACACTTTTATTCACCAACTGATCAGGCAAGCTGTCGAATCCGACATGCCCTGACAGTTTAAGGGTACGAAGTGCCGTCTCCATCTACAAAAAACGTATCATTAGCAAATCAAGAAGTGACTAACCCGAAAGGGAACGCATGCATACACAACCTAGTTATTAAACACGCAACATAATAAGTATTTCAAACAATCTATTGTTTCTGTTTGTCAACCGGCATCCAAGGAATGTTTCCACTAATTCTGTTAGTCGTTATACCTTAACTTAGACCGTATCAGAATCACTTTCTCAACATCCTTTTTTACCTGTTTGAGAAACGCCCAATAACACTTTCTACATTAAAAAACGTACAATAGCCAGAAATTATTATTCAACTTTTAAAGAAATAAATAACAATTTAATAAATGTAAATAATAGATAAGGTGACAAGATAAAATATTTAAATTATTAACTCACTTTTGGGGGCTCGACATCTATAGCCGCCATGATTATTGTTTGACTAAATGATTACAATGAAGTAAGCAACTTAAAATCATCGAACTGTCATTAGTATTACCAATTAATAAATTTAAAGATTTGTCCAGCTTTTTCTAATGTAAGGTATGTATAACGTAACAAAACAAAGTTTTTACAAGAAACTTGAAATGATTACGCATTGATAAATGTTAAAAAATATATAAAAATAAATAAACTTATTACAATATATTTTCAGATATTTGCAATAGATATATATTTTTTTAATCGCTTAAACTTTTTTACTTAATATTAACAGTTTACTTTAATATTATTTTTTTAAATACTATTACATTTAAATTAATATATTAAACTTTATATATTAGAATTTAGCATATTTCCACAAAATATGTAAGTGTAGCATATCGTAAAACTTTGTAGTAACAACACTAGTGAATAGTGTCACTGTCAATGTCAAATATTACAACAACTTCACATATCAATGCAGATAACCAACAGAAATTGAAATTAAAAATCAAACTTTAAGAGAAATTAATATAAAAATGTGAATTTAAATTAAATTTAAATAACATTTTATTTAGATAACAATTTGTGTATATACAATTTTTTTTACACAATAAACTCAAAATAGCAACAAAATAAATTTTAAAGATTATTATTTGAGTAAGTTGAATATTCACAAAATAGAAAAGGTATTATTTGTTGATATTGGCTAACCTACTCTGAAGTCATATTATTACTATAACAAAAAAATATCCCACTTATTGGGTAACAGTAAGAAAGTTTCAAGTAATATTTTTTTAATAGATACCCATATTTTATAATTGCGATTAAAAACAAACATATTAAACACCATTATTAAAAAAAAAAAAAAACTTTATTGTTAATATATATATTTTTCAACACATTTTAATACAATAAAATTTTAGTCTACATATAGTCAAAATAGTTCTTATTTACTCTTATTTTACTCATATTAATATTAATGAGTATAACATCATACAGTATAACTCATATATATTACTGATTGCTTTTTTAATTTATTACTAAAATTTTTATTTATAAACAGATTTTTGGCTGCAACTTCATATAAATTCATGTGATTTCAAAAATAAGAAAACCAATATAATAGATCACTTCTAGATGTATCACGATAAAATAAACACTAGATCAATATAAATAACATCTAATTTATAATAATTTTTGTGTGATGCTAGAACAAACACACAGACAAAAAAATTGTTTGATGTCTTATTATTATTTATTATTAAGCCCCCTCAAGTTTATCACCTATTATTATATATTACATCATATAATTTCATATTTATTCTTTAAATATCATCTATGCATATATTAATAGAATTGTACACATTTTTATGTAGACACTTGACAATATATTAATTACATTATATCTAACAAATATTATTTCAGTTATCTCTCAGTCATATACCATTAGTCAGCGTATACTAATAGCGTAGGCGGAGTTATTACCATTTTCACCTATTAAAAACCAATAAATACTCCTTGATATAACCAGTGCGTTAACCAGTAGAGTTCAAAATAAAGTATTGATATAATTTGAATTTCAAGCAGACGTCGAAGCTTTTGTTAATTCAAAGTATCCTTTAAGAATCATCCGTTTCGAATCTAATAAACTATAATATCATCTCTATTAGTTGCAGTAAATTATTCAATGATTAAATGGCATTAGCGTATTTAAAATTTATTTCCAAGGGGGCTTGGCCTCTTAGCACGGACTCATTATGTACTGTCAGGCATTTTTTACGTATAACTGAAAGAGACATTCGGGTCGTAAAGTGGGCATGAGACAATTTTGAGATGTGCATGGCCACTCAGCCCCCACTTTAAATACGTCTATGTGCATCGGTAAATTTTTGTAAATAACGGGTGCGTGTGATATATAGTTATAAGTAAAATAAATAATAATCGATAAAAATGAACTTAATCATAGTTTTAATAATTAACGATATCAAATAAATATAAAAAAAAATTAAATTACCCATAACATGTCAAATATTAAACACTGATCGGGTAGTTTGTCTATATCTAGAATTGGCAACACTGACTAATTCCAAAATGGCAGAATGCGACTTCGTTCTGTTATCATGTGAGCCGAAGAAATAATGTTTTCTTGATATTGTTTATCGCGAGTGGATTATATATTTGTGATTTAGTGAATTGTGACATAATAAACCATGGCGGACATAAAATCGCCGCCTTATAGTGACATCAAGAGACCTGAGGAGGTGGTCAGGATGACGACGAATGATAGCCTGAAATTCGCAGTTCTTATCGGGCTGATTGAAGTCGGACAGGTGACCAACCGGGAGGTGGTTAATACGGTCTTACATCTGGTAAGGGTTTCCATTCATTACTGTCCTCTATAGTTGTCCCGGCGAATTGTAGGAAGTCTTATTAGATTCGACTTGGAAAGGTTATTGGATTACGTACTTTGCGACTTATGTTTTCTATTCACATAGGGCTATATTTTTATGCATGTGCTCCAGTCTTATTAGCGTACAATGCAGCGACAATAGAAATATATATTAGGTTGTAATGTTGTGTTTTATTGGAGTGTCGCGTCTATTTTCATTGTTTTTATCGATCGCGTTTGGTTGTGAATCGCGAATCGCGCGGTCAGCATAGGGCCCCGGCAGCGCCAGCGACCGGCGAACGTGTGCTGTTTGTTTTGGTTTATTGCTGCCGGTAGCACCACATTACATGATACAAATCCGAGCAAATCTGATTGATTCGTGTTGCGATTACATTTTTCGCGTTCAAGTTTTGTCAAAGAATTACAAAAAACTACGGGCTAATTGAGCCGTGAATAATGACGTCGAGTTACCTTGAGTTTTACATCTTTTATGTCGGTATAGACAAACATTATTACATTTTATGAGCTAGGTGTAATGTTAACTTATATTTATTTAAGTTGAAGTTGATAATAAACAACTGTAGTAGATATTTATCTAGTAAGTGTCGAGTGCCTACTCGGTTTTATATATCTACTTACCTATATTTCTATAAAAATAGCGTTAATACTGAAGGTGTTTTTGTTTAGTAAGTTATTGATATACCTACTTACATCGAATTAAATAACTTAATGCTTATGTTACCAATAGATTTGTATTAATGGGTGATAATGGAATGGTAACCCCGCTTGCGACATCGGTATACACTGGCAGGGCACCAGTGACGGATGATAGATGAGAATCATGCAGGCCAGTTAGCCAATCGTGACGAATGCAACAATAAATCAATCACGTTGATTTCCAGGGGAACCCGCGTGGAGGTCGGCCTGATAAAGTATATTGCTAACAGTGAGATTTATAAACCCCATTACTAACAATCTCTTCTCTCCCTATTACCAATTGTTATCTCCTGCAATATCCCATATAACTGAATATTTACGAAACTTTAGAAGCAGTTTACTAATAAAATGAAAATACAGACTTCAATGTTAATTCGCTTACATGATAATGGTGTGGTAACCCCGTTTACGCTATCGATAAACGCCGGTGAGGCACCAGTGAGAGATAATAGGTAACAGTGAAAGCAGGTCCGTTGTCTCATCGTGTTGAATTCTACAAGAATTAACCAAGACAGTCGGGGAGGAAAGTAATTGTTAGTCATGAAGACTGAGAATCCCATTGCTAGCAATATACCCAACCAGGTCGATCTCCTCGCGGTTCTCCCTGGAAACTATTATGGTTAATTCCTGATGAATTCATCATGATGGGCTAACTGGCCTGTTTTCATTTTCATCTATCACCCTTCACTGGTGCTCCGCTAGGGTATCTCGTTAGCGCAGGCGGGGTTACCATACCGTTTTCACCCATAAAAAAAAAACCACGAAGACACTTCTACGCGATTCCCTCCGGATAGTCTCCCTGATAGGATCCTCCGGAAGTCTACCTGATATTGCTAGCAATGGGGTTGTTAGATTCCTCTACTAACAATCCCTTTCCCCCATTTAATTAATGTTGAACGGGAAACGATTAAATCATTATCTTAGTTTACCATTTTCCATCACGTGTACTGTCAACTTGCCAGCCAGGTCAAGTTACATAATATAACAGTTACTTTTTTCTTTTTTGGCGATCAGTTGCCTTTTAATCTAACTGCGGGCTTTATTGTCACAAAAAAATATTTTCCTTACGGAGTAGCGTCCATTTACTTGGATAGGTATACCAAGTAAGGTCATGCCGGTATACAAAAATGAACCGTACCATAAGAATAATCAGAACTCAATATTATTCTGACGTAAATAAAATTATTATAAACATATTAGATGATCCGGCAAACGCTGTTTCGCCTCTTACTGACATCTATCGGGCACATTTTTTATTATCAAGATAAAAACTATTCTGTCTCTCAAGTTGAAACAAATGATATGCATTTACATATTTTTTTTATACAACTTAGAATGGCAAACAAGCTGACGGCCCACCTGATGGAAAGTGGTATCTGTTGCCTATAGACATAAGCAGTACCATGGACATAACAGAGTATATTGTTTCGCCTATGATACCCCCATGCGTTGCCATTCCTGAGGACTCAGGTGTTATTCCTCTGTACCCTGTAAATTCACGTCATATCCCACTTCACACCGAAACACAACTGCTTTTACGATTGTGTTCTCCAAAAAAATAAAACCGATTTAAATTTTAGCGAAATCAAATATTTTGATTTTAAAACTAAACTACTGAATCGAATTTAAAAAAAGTTTCCATGATCTTTCAGTTATAAATCTATTCGATAAAATGAATTTTTCGAATAGATTTATAACTAACAGAGTTGCGAGGTAACAAACAAAGCAAAAGTACATTTGAATTGAAAACCAGCTTTTTCAAGTCGGTTGAAAATTTGAATGAAATCGGTTGAGTGGCTTTGGAAATTAGCGTGAACGAACATCGTGACACGCGATTTTTGTGTATTAAGATAACTTTTATGATTATTGCATAAGAACGGGCATGACAATGCTGACGATGACAGTCTAAGCACATAAATCGCGCCAACCACAAAATGATTTGTTGACACCACACACCATCACACTTGATATTTTATATGTAGTTCTTTTTTATCAGGTTATTAGTCATATCACCACAATTATTTACACTACATTTTCTAAATTTATTTAAATAATACAATTCGATAATGGAGATATCAAAATTTGTATTCCGTAACGGATTTAATTATTTTAATTGACCCTTAGCGACTTTAGCGCCGGGGCTGCCAGGCAGAAAAATCCTTTTAAATTTAGTATTTAATACAAAGTCATTTTGCGAACGTATATTTCCCTAGTGACTGGTTTAGTTTTATTAATTTACCAGAGGAGACTGCAAATATGTCTGCGTCAGTTTTTTTAATGGGTGAGTATGGAGTGGTAACTCCGTCTGCGCTATTTGTATATGTTGATTGGGCACCAGTGAGCAACGATAGGTGAGGATGAAAGCAGGTCATTCGATCCATTGTGACGAATTCAATAAGAATTAATTATGATGGTTTCCAGCAGGAACCACGTAGAGATTGATCTGATAGGGTTGTATTGCTAGCAATAGGGCTTTCAGACCTTTGTTAACAAATTGTTGGTTACTGACTTAATATATTCTTTTTACAAGGCCTGGTAAAGCCTGAGTAAACGTTCATAAATTTCTTTGATTTTACTATATTGTTGGTATATAAATTTTTTACCTAATTTACCACTAACAATAGAAAAGACAAGATTAGCATTCCATTTCCATATATTAAATGAAAAACTTAACATCAGAGGAATATAAATTGTTTTTTACATTCACAATATTTCCTAATTATGCACTGGCTTTGTCATTGTGAGGTAAATACTATTGTTCTTAGTTGCGGCAATGCGTCTGAGCTCCACCATTATACCTAAATTCGTTCTACCTCTTCTGCTTTCGTCTCAATCGAGTCGAGCCATTATCAGAGAATCGACCGACGATAAATCTAAAATTGAACGTTCGGCGTCCATATTACAATCATTCTATCTATACAATGTCTCAACGAAGTTGACATTTGGTACATTAATTCTTTAAAACGTTTAGATTTCTATTAAAAATGACTGTTCCCATGAGAACGGGCGATTCCACGAGAAAGCTACAAAAATCATCCTAGTAAGACTCAGAAGGTCATGTATTTTCTAAGAAACGTAAAATTTTTGTCTGTTAAAGATTTGCTTACTTTTAATCTTCTTGGTATTGGCGTAGTAATGTAGATTGTACCTACATTATTCTTTAAAACAACAATAAGTCCATCGGCTTCATGATAGAGTATTCTTTTGGATAAATTTTTTTACAATATGTTCTTAGTCTAAGAAGTAAGAAAAATTTTTACATACAGGCTCACCTAAAAATATACTATCCAACCATTTACTTTAAAATATTTGCATGTTCGAGAAATTGGAACTGGGACCCTTATTTTCCTTTGTTTCCGCCCTTAGTTTATAAGTACTTATGGGGTTACAAAGGGGTCGGGCAGATCGGCTTTGTGCCTGAGAACACTTGCCGTTTATAATATATTTTTGTCAAAATATTATAACTAAATTTCAATATAAATAAAATCAACATTTTGTTTTTGTTTCGTCCTAAATAAAGTATCTTTCTCGACGTTCTGAATATTCTCTTTCTCTTTTTCTGTGTGTATTTTATGTTACGTGTTATATTTATTATGTCCGTAAAATCAAAGATCACTATATAACCTTATATGTATCGTGACTTGATTTCAGGATGAGAAAACTCCATTGTACCCAACCCGTCCCGTCCTGTTGTATATGGAAGTCATTGCGGAGGCGTACCCAAGCATGAAACACAGTATATAATAATAATAATTTGTAGTAAAGAAGTCTTGATACCTTAGCGTAGTCTATAATTGTCGGAATTAATAAAAAGAGGTGATGAATTTGTTTATACTTATTGATAGGAATTGATACGTGAAGTAAATAATCATAATTTGATAATAAGGCCACTCTACTAAACATGCCAAGCCAAAACATTGAATAAAATAATTGTATATTTTTGTTTCTTTAATTACAGAAATTGTACAAACCCAAATCATAATTATTTTTTAATAACTTTACGAAATGTACTTATCATTAAAAGTAAATATTTTGTAGATTTTTAGATTTCTTCCTCAACTGTCGTAAATGTGTATTTAAAATTATTACAGTTTGTTTACTTAATGAGCCGGACCAAGTATCGAACTTGAGAACAGAACTGCAGCACGGAGGTCGTCAAAGAAGCTTTTACTAGGAATTTACTCCAGCGAACGCTCCGGCTATGGAATGAGCTGGTTCTCCCTAGAGACTAGAGTATGGGGTTTTTCAAGAAGGGTATATTAAGATTTCTTCAGGGTCGACAACGCGCACGTGACACCCCTAGTGTTGCAGGCGTTTATAGGCTACAGTGGCCGTTTACAATCAGACGGACTGTATTCTTGTTTGCCACCTTTGTGATATAAAAAAAATTAATAACCCGCGCCAGTTTGGTTCGTGTTCGTCACAATCGCACATGATTAAGAGTCCCAGATCATAATACTAGTGGAATATTCTTAATAAAAATACATTTAAGTCGTTGTTCGTTTTCACAGTGAAAAAAACCTTTTTTTTTATTGTTAGGGAAAAAACGAGTAGACGATCCATCTGACTGGAAGTGGCTACCGTGAACATTTGCAACATAAGGGGAGTCGTTTGATTGCCTGTCTTTTAAATGTTTGTAGACTCGTTTTTACACTAGACTATCTTTATAGGTCAACATTAACTGGCCGTTTAAATGATGAAATACAGTCCCGATGTGATCAGACAGGTAATTATCATATTGTATCAGTTTATCCTCTCATTCCAATATCAATATTTGCTTTGTGCAGGAACTTCAAAACGGAAGCGTATAATCGGCGCGCCGAACTCGCTTTAAATTAACTTCCGAAAACCACGCTGGAATCGAGTATCTCTTTAATAAGCATTGAATGGTTTTCGATAAGTATTACGTATAAATTCACCAAGTAAGATATTATTCAAGATGGTCCGAGTTTTGATTTTAAAATTGTTTGTGAAGAAGATATTTTGATAGTAAAAGTTAAATATGATTCGACTCTTTTAGTTCCAAATGTCTAGCCCTAGACCCCTTTTGGATCTGTAATTAATAACTTGTAGAATGATTCTAGGATCATTAGATCCTTTTTATAGTTCTAAGCGGATAATTAAATTGTTACCTACAGTATTCTAAACTATATCAATTTCCTTTGTTACAGTAAAAAACTAATATGAATGTACGTGACAGTGAATGTCTAAGTATCACAGATTCATGATAACAGGAGCTTGTCATATTCTAATATTATAATTATCTCATCGAGAAGATATATAGTGTACTGGGTTGCAAGTCGATAAATGTGCAGAAATTACAAAAACTTTTTTTTATGCAATTTTGAATGACAGAGCAATCTGACAGCCCATCTGATAATGGAAAGTGGTAACTGTGGCCTATAAATATGAATAGTACTATGGATATGACAGAATTACTATACTACTGTTTTGCTCATGATACCCCCCATGCGCTGCTATTTCTGAGGCCTCGTGTTATGCCTCTTCAGTTCTTCACCCTGTAAATTTATTGCCATATCCTTTTCAAACTTTTAAACAGAAACAGCCATGCAAACACAAATGATTTACGGTAGAAACATGAATGGTACAGAGGTGCCCAAGCAAAAACGCCTTTTGTAGTCTCCCTCTGGTAAAACTAATATTTTATTTGTATTTTAATACTATACTAGCTTTTATCCGCGTAATCGTCCGCGTGTCCAGGATATGTTTACTGACTGGGACAGCCTATATAGTTCTTCATCCCAGGTAGTATGTGTATACCAAATTAGTGATTGTTTAAGCCGTTAAAGTGCTAGACAAACAAACTCACTTTCACATTTGTAATATTAGTAAGCGAATTAACATCGTTTCGGGTAAATACAAGTTCGTAAGGAGGCTGCTGTACGTAACATGAAAAATTTGTCCTCTAATTAAAAACACGATTGGTCTGTCAAAATTCCAACTACAAATATTTAGCCAGTATCACTCGGGACATCTTTATATCAGTAAAGATTCTGACGATATCCCATATATCCAGATCTCTCAGACATTTAGAAATTATTGTGGAATTTATTTTAATATTTATTTATTCATTAGTACATACGAGTATATGTGTACATGGCGGACTTAATGCTAAAAGCATTCTCTCACAGTCAACCATAGGGAAGTGTCAGAATACTTGAATATATATACACACACACTATATAAATTGAGAATAATATAAAGTTGTTTCTGTAAAAAAGAAAAAAGTGAGCATGAACGTTTTTTTTGAACGACGGTTTAGTCGGTAGTCTCTTAATGGTATCAGGAAGCGCGTTCCAGAGCTGTGAAGAATGTATACACATGAATCTTGAAACACTCTTTTCTTAGACATTCTTGTATAACAAGTATAAAATATAATATTGTTAATACATATTGTAATCATTATTACTAACATGTACAATGAAAAAAATCGATTTGAGCGCGAAAACAATAGCGTTATGTCACGTTACTTTCCCGCGGTCTTGGCCGCGACCTTCATGCTTAGTCATGCATAGTGCACACACATCGCAACCGGTATTTTTTGTAACCGGTTCGTATCATCGTGCTACCAGTTTAGTAATCATAAGCAATTAAGCATATCAAGTCTCATTAAAAACATGATAATGGAAAATCAAACCAGTGAGAACCCGCCCACTTGATAGAAAGTGGCAACTGTCGATTATAGACATTTTGGAGTTGGCATGCGTCTCTGTTAGGTAGAATGTGAGGGCTTATGTCCGACTATGTCTGACGAGTCCTTTGGCAAGACAGTAGGACCGTCGGTGTCGTTGGTATGCAGGCGAAGATCTTAAATAACCAATCTCTTGATTTTATAGATTATATTGTCTTCCTTGGAATGACTCTTGAATATAAAACTCAATGGAGTCCTCACATTTAAAACCTTGCAACTAAATTAAGTTCTATCGTGTATGCTGTACGCAGGGTTAAACAGTATACTAATATTGAGACTGCCAAATTAGTTACTTTTATAGTATACTGTCCTATGGAATATTATTATGAGTTAAAGCAGCCGACATTTAAATCATATTTGTATTACAAAAACATGCTGTTTTCGCAATTTAATCTATGCGAAGTCGTGAATCATTAAGAGAAAAATTTAAAGAAGCAAATAATCTCACTGTAGTTTCACAGTACATATACGCAAACATTTTGTATATACTCAGGAATCTTCAACTGTTTCTTAAAAACAGCGATCTTAATAATTTTAACACTAGATACAAATACAAACTTGCTGTTCCGAAGTATCGTTTAGAAAAAGTTAATAGGTATTTTATGGGAATGGGCATTAAATGTTATAATAAGATACCGAAAAATATTTTTAATCTACCTTTTAATAAATTTTAAACTGTTATTAAAAAACACTTATTGAACGAAACCTATTACACTCTAAACGATTACTTGAATGACAAGCGTGCATGGTGTTAGTCGATTATGCACGGGCTTTTTAATGACCATATAATTTTAGACATAGTAAGTACATTTAAATAAGTACACATAATGTTAACCGAGATTTAAAAGTTTAATTTCTTGCGGGATCTTCTCAAAAGATAACATATAATAACCTTCTAAACCCTGTAGTAGATTTAAAAAAAAGAAGTGACATTTAAAAGTGCTTGTAAAAAAGTTTATTCGAAGAAAGATGATTTGAATTTGACCGCGCGACGGAGACGAGATGCAAATCAAACAGCTTATACGATTGATAATAATAACCATAATTGATTTTATTTATAATATAACTGAGCTCTTTCTCTCAATGTCACTACTCAATGGTGCCCTGCTAGCATCGCTGCATCCATTAAAAAAAAGGCATTATGACAGTGTTACCTAGTACAACTACCAGAATACAGCGTCATTCATAACGTGCGGGGAATACAATAATGCACAACACAATTCCACTGAGTGACAATAAATAATTGGTTGTTAACAAGTCCGTACATTTGACAGCAATTTTCGCGGCAGTCGCTCCTGTCAAAAAGAAAGGGTTGCCACAACATGAACACCACAGATTCATTATTTGAAATAGCTGAAGGTCAAGGTGTTATGCCTCTGTATTCAGTAATTTTACTGCCATATTACATTTTTTTAATTAAAACAGGAATGTAAAAGTAACAGCTACATGTTCAAAGATATTTTATTGTTTAATATTTGATGTTTTTAACCCTTGTCGGCAGAAACAAGACTTATAGATACCCATATAGTCAACTTTATACGATAACTTCAAAACTGTTCATCATAAAATTATAAAAAAGAGTTCTCATAATAGTTCCTTTTATTTAATATATTGAAAATATGCCAAACAGTATTTAATAATTATGAAAATGCATTACTTTTACGATTTTTATTGAAAGAGAGAAAGTCTGCATTACCATCAGTCATCGTCATGTTGGCAATCGAAACACCGCGTGCCGATAGCAGAACAAGAAACAGCGGCGACCCTGTTGTCGGGTCCGTAAGTTGGGCTCCGATAATGGCGAGATGTTTAAATTACAGAAAAAACTACTAAACTACGCAACCATTCTTTGGAATCAACTTCCAACGGCAGTATTTCCGAACCGATACGACAACATAACCTTCAAGAAAAGAGTATATTCCTTTTTAAAAGGCCGCCAGCACACCTGCAACGCCGCTGGTGTTGTAGGTGATCATGGGCGGCGTTAGTCACTTACGGTGAGCCGCAAAATCGTTTGCCCCCTGTTGTAAAAAAAAATGACATGTAGTGTTCCTTCTACGTATTTGTTACCATTCGTGTGTTTATAATAATTACGTCCCGTGTGAAACTAGTGCTCATAGTTGCTCCGTTGTTTTGGAGCTTCAGGCCATTTGATTGAACCGCGAAATGAACACTTGTGCTTATCGTAGTAATTGTGAAATATTAAATTATAATTGAGTTAAGGACT